TTTGTTTGCAAGTTATAAGCATTTTTATATTTATATATAAAAAGTGGATGTTTCTTGCTATCCAGTACTGTATAATATCTAAAATTTGTAATATAGCCAAATAATTATTAATTCATTGAACTAGAATATTCTAAAGTACTATCTGTATTAGTGTATCTTTGTGTAGCCTTAGTTCAGGCTTTGCTTACATTAAACAAACTTATAATTTAAATAACTATTGTTTTAAATAGAATTCTGTAAAAACTATCTTAATAAAATTAATAATAAACTATTATTTAAGTAATTAAAATAAATAAAATATATTATAAACTATAAAAATAAACTAATAAAATAATAAAATATATAATAGTAATATAAAATAGAATTTAACTAATTTAATATCTGGTATTTAAAACATAGAGTCTGTATAATATATAAATCAAAGGAATTTTTATCAAAATAAACAAATAATAAAATATAATTTAGCTAATATTAGAGTAGTATTTGAATTTTACAGTTGCGGCTTCTCAATCAAGTGAATATATTCTTAAAGAAGCATTAGTTAAATGGATTGCAACCGATAATCTTTCATTTACTACTGTTAAATCAGAAGGTTTTTGTGAACTAGTTGAGATAATTAGAAAATTAAAAGGTAATATTATAGTTTCTTCTGCCAAGACGGTCAAATATGATTTAATAAACAAATACTCAGTTCTCAAAAACTCATTAAAAAATATATTAATGAATAATTCAAGTAAAATATCTTTTACTACTGATTTTTGGAAACTAATATTGAGCAGATTATAGTTTATACTATTTATATTAAAATTTTACAAGAAATTTTTTTTCTTAAAGCTCCAAGGATAGTTTCATAAACAAAATTTTAAGATATCATTGATTTTTTGTTTTTTTGCTTTATTTTTATTATACAAAAAAATAATCTACAATATATATTTAATCGAATATTTTGATTAGCTTTTCTATTTGTTTTGTATAACCAAGTATCAATACACCTAGTGTCCAAATAGAAATTATCTATAAAATATATAATAAAATTTAAAAAAATATATAATAAATATATAAAAAAAATAACTAATAAAATTTGACTAATAAAAATCAACTAATAATATTAACTAATAAAATATAAAATATACTAATAAAATTTTACTATATTACAATACCAGAAAAAAATATTAAGTTTTAGAATAGTAAATTAGTAGCAATAGCAGAAACTTGGCTTAAAATATAGATTAGTAGTATCTAAGCAAATAAGTAAAAAGATTAGATATTTATACTACATAAAAGAATACTATTTAATGAAATTAATATAGTATGATCACTTTAATAAAGAATATTATATAAACTAAGCAGAACAAACTTAAGATAAGTTCTTAACCTAACAATATATACCAACTTGATCATGTAGTAAATCTAATTAAATAGCAAGTTTTTAGCTTAAGATATAAGCTATAGAAAGACTATCTATACTAATTATAGTTATACTCATAAAATTTATAAAGAGACTTGCAGTAGATCATATTTATATATATACCAATTTGAAAGCTTATTAGAAGCAAACACCTGATATACCAACTTGAAAGTTATGACTGGTTATAGTAAAATATAGAAATAATATAATAATTACTAAAAATAGTTAGTTGTGAAGCACAAATCTAGATGATATATATGTAAGTATAGACTATTCTAGTAGGTTTAGATTATAGATAAAATTAGTTTAAGTCTCTGTAGTTTGTAAAGTTAATATATATGTAATTATAATTAAAATATAAGTTATATATTAATAAAAACCAAAGATGTAACTTCACTTTAAAATATAAAAAAAATATTATTAAAATATTTTTACTTATAAACCAAGTTATTAATACAACTTATTTTTATTATACAGTTAGATCTTTATAAATACAACACCTCTAAATATACATTCTATGAAAAACTTTTATAAATATATAGGCTTGTTGTATCTCTATTATA